TGTGTGTGTGTGTGTGTGTGTGTGTGTGTGTGTGTGTGTGAACGCCTGTGACAGCCAGCTCACCTGAGGGTTTTCGATTGGAGATGGTGAACCATCTCCCTTATTTGCTTTCGGACCAAAATGAACTAACTGATTACCGTTGATGAAGACAAATGAACAATCATGAATTGGCTACTCTGGTCGGCCCTGATTTGAGTTGGTTGGCACAACGAGGAGCACACCTTCCGTGCGATGCGTCCGAAGATTTAAGGCCCTAAATGGACTGTAGATATGCACTATTAATAAGCTTTAACAACAGTGAAGCCCGAATCTAGTGCTTCTCGAGTGTTTAGTTGACCGATGAGCTGAGCATTGTGCACGAGCGTGGAGTGTGATAGATGGTTAGTCTAAGTCAGTATCACTTATCCTACACCACTGCTCCCTGTTGGGAGATACTACTCACTTGTGAGTAGTGATTTATTTCAACGACCAAAAACCAACAGGATCACCGAGGGAAATGTGCTGGGTCTCAAAGGGTAACTATCGATCGCTACATTCATTACCCGTCGTGTGGACAGAGACTGTGATGGTATGTTTCTGATTAGAGTTTTGGTGTTATGTATTCCAAATTACTGATGTCCCATCTGTGGTCCTCAATGGATGAATATCCTCGACCAACACCGACTTTTGGAATTATAACACTCCCGAGTAACTCTGGAGTAAACATAGGTCTGCCTAAAATGCGAGCACCACTGTTTGCAAGAGCTATTGTATTCCAATGGTTCTATCCTCCGGCTAGATTGGCCACATTGTCCCTAACCGAGAATGTTAACACGATCTATGTGTCCCAATCTGCTGTTCATGGTTCACGTACCGTTGTTCTTTTTCTGACCACAACCCAATCTGTACAATGTAATATCAGAAACAGAGGCTAAATTATTCGTTGAAGTCCTCATTGTATGTGTGTGTCTTTGCTTGGACATGTATGTGAACCACCTCCGTGACGAGTGTGAGAGAGGGAGAGGAGGTGATATACAATCGCATTGGATAATGATTCTCCGTAACAGTGTTCCATTGCAATTACAGTTTTGCCTGCTCGGATGAAATTACATGATTTTGTCCTTGCATGTTAAACGTGCTTCTGGGATTCCGGTCTGGATGAGATTTTCAGTTCATTTTCCTTACACTGGGGAACAGAAATAGGGAAACACCGGACGAGGCATGTGTGTGAATCGCGTGCAATATTTATTTTATAGGCATTTCAGCCTATCGGACAATCTGCCGATCCTTTCTTGCAGCGGCCAGTTCTTGTTACTTTCTCTCTCACCGTTGTAGTAGCACTTTTGCCATGAGCTTTGGCTGCTATCAATTGCTATCTATATTCTCTACTGTGCATGCGAAACTCTCGCAGAAGCCACAG